ACTGTGAGCCAGCGTCTTACTCACTGTGAGCCAGCGTCTTACTCACTGCGAGCCAGCGTCTTACTCGCTGTAAGTCAGCGTCTTAATCACTGTGAGCCAGCGTCTTACTCACTGCGAGGCAACATCTTACTCACTGTGAGCCAGCGTCTTACTCACTGTGAGCCAGCGTCTTACTCACTGTAAGTCAGCGTCTTACTCACTGCGAGCCAGCGCCTTGTTTACTGCAAGCCAACGCCTTATTCACGGCGAGCCAGCGTCTTACTCACGGCAAGCCAGTGTCTTACTCACTGTGAGCCAGCGTCTTACTCACTGCGGGCCAGTGTCTTACTCACTGTGAGCAGGGTCTTACTCACTGCGGGCCAGTGTCTTACTCACGGCGAGCCAGTGTCTTACTCACGGCGAGCCAGTGTCTTACTCACGGCGAGCCAGTGTCTTACTCACTGCGGGCCAGTGTCTTACTCACGGCGGGCCAGTGTCTCACTCTCTGTGAGCAGGGTCATACTCACTGCGGGCCAGTGTCTTACTCACGGCGAGCCAGTGTCTTACTCACTGTGAGCCAGTGTCTTACTCACTGCGGGCCAGTGTCTTACTCACTGTGAGCAGGGTCTTACTCACTGCGGGCCAGTGTCTTACTCACGGCGAGCCAGTGTCTTACTCACGGCGAGCCAGTGTCTTACTCACGGCGAGCCAGTGTCTTACTCACTGCGGGCCAGTGTCTTACTCACGGCGGGCCAGTGTCTCACTCTCTGTGAGCAGGGTCATACTCACTGCGGGCCAGTGTCTTACTCACGGCGAGCCAGTGTCTTACTCACTGTGAGCAGGGTCATACTCACTGCGGGCCAGTGTCTTACTCACGGCGAGCCAGTGTCTTACTCGCGACGAGCCAGCGTCTTACTCACGGGGGTCAGCGTCTTACTCACTGCGAGTCACCGGAAGCCAGCGTCTTACTCAGTGCGGGTCACCGATTTCTCAAGGGATATTCTGTTCTAACATACATTGTACATTAAACACCTTATTATTTTTGTTGGCCTGTTTTCTTGTATTTGTGTAGCATAGAATCTTTAAATACGATAAATCTTCTACACCCCAACACGGCCTTATTTGTGTCCTCAGTACCCTCTGACTATCAACTTGAAGATCAAGACTTGTTGACAATTGATTATCCAGGCTTAAGTGCACTCGCAACACGTCCAATAGGTCGAAAGGAAATAAGAATGTTGTCACGTACGGTACGGTATATAAAAATATCACCGCAAGATAATGTTCATACGGATAATGTTTATAGAAGTCAAATGATGTGTGGAAGTCCCAATTAAATGAATCAACATACACTGCTTCGTGTACGACACTAATGGTGATTGATCAGTATCTACATTTGAAAATAAAATGAGATGCACAAACTGGATCAATGATGGGAAGTTTGCTTTACGACCTACTTCCCATCCAATTTCAACTGTCAATGGTGGCTTTTCCTTCCAGGCTGCGCCGGGGGGGTGGGGGTCTAGTGTGCGTGACAAAGCGTAGGGTCGCCTGTCCAACATCTTGAGTTTAGCGAGCACCGTATTCACCGTGCCTCCCGTTGCTAAGTTACCCTTAAAATGTACCCGGGTTTCTCTTGATGGGTTGGCTGGGCGGTAGAGTGGTCTGACGCGTGCGCTTTAGATCATAAGGCCTGTCATAGAGACAGGAGGTGTGGTTTCGATCTCCCATTGTGTACGTGCTAAGAACAGTGATATCTGGATGAAGTTTAACATAAATATTGAAAAAATGACTTCGTTTTTTATGTTAATTACGGTATTTTATTACTTGGTGATGAATAAATACCGTAATATACCCTCGACTGTTCATTCCACGAAGTTTGGAAACGCCGTTAAAGAGCTTTGGTTTCGTTACGTGACGACGATACCGTAAGAAATTTCTGTGCATCTTGACGAATTGTTTATACAAATACTTTGATTTTCTAAAGGAATCATTGATGTTTGGATTGAATTTTTTTTAATAAAACAGAAATATAAATAATACCAACCATACTGAGAGTTCCGGTAGACTGATTATCATTCAGCGTCGGAAGTGTCATGGCTGCCGGTGTTCCAAAAAATCGCTATTTAAACATACATTATGCAAGAGCTAAGTCTGCCAATTGCAGGTCTTTCTTTAGGTCTGAAATGTTATCTTAATTATTAATTAGACATTAATTAACTTATCCAGATCCTAATCAGCTCTCGATGTCATCGCTATCCGGCGATATTTACTGTATTGGAATCCGGTCTGATGCTCATGATTAAATCAAAAAATGGATAATCGAGACTATGTTTTTTTTTTATCGTACCGACTTTAATAATGATGATCGAGGCTAGGCTCAAAATTCAATCGCTAAATACTCGGTTCAAGGTGAATCAATTTGACTGAAATTTTCAGCAAATTCCCTTTACATTATCTAGTTTTTAACTATTATAGTGAGAACTGCCAACTCTTTATCTAATCTCCCATAATGTATCTTTAACTAAATCAATGGATACTTTTTTTGACAAAGTAATTAAATGGTTTAATTCAGTATTCTTGTATTGTAAAATGCATTTTCATGGAGGCATACGCTTGAATGAGAAAAAAACGAGTTTGAAAGGGCAAACGAATAGCATTCATTCGTAATCGTAACTATAAAAATATGCGCGGCCGAATGAACACAAACTTTTTTTTTATGTTTTAACTGTTTTGGCTGCCTCCTTCATATGTAAATATTCTTAATTTAAATAAAATATCATAATTAATATACTGGCTGCCTCCTTCATATGTAAATATTCTTAATTTAAATAAAATATCATAATTAATATACTGGCTGCCTCCTTCATATGTAAATATTCTTAATTTAAATAAAATATCATAATTAATATACTGGGAATCAAAATTGAAATAAACAACATAGACATATATTATTAGCAAGTCTTCATGACTATTAGATCTATGTTTGAACCAGCTCATTAAATTTTCTTTGTAAATTCGATACTGTAGGCCTATTTATGCTAAAACGTTTGATAATATTGACAGACTAGAAAATGTCAAGTGAAAACTCCGGGGGTATTTCCAACATTTTAAACATGTTTATTTACATTTTTTACAATGTGATATACTTCAATTATTGACATTTTATCAAATATCGCAATGTTTCTAGGGATACCCCTCCCCCCCTCTCTCTCTCTCTCTCTCTCTCTCTTTGATTGTATCATCGATTCACCTTTTTGAACTTTGCACTAGAAATCTTGTCACCATTTTGTCGACTGGCCAAGTTTCCGCCTATCTCCGTAATACGATTTACTCCACACGGATTTAAAGGTAAGGGTGATGGGGTTCATTGTTTTAACAGGTAATGCTTTGATCGTTTTATCTGTTGTGTGTGTGTTGTTTGTGTGTTGTTGAGAAGGATTGTTGGTGCAATGATGACAGGCTTTACTATGATACACAATACAAGATCTTACACTACAGTACAACACAAGTACACACCAGGTTCACTTGTATGTAGGGGTGCCATCTGCGCAAAGCTCGTTTTGGACTTTTCAATGAAAATTACCCAGTTTAAACAGAGAGAGAGAGGGGGTGGGGGACCCTTAGTAGTGGGAGGGAACAGGGGACGCATTGAATACCAATGGGGTTAGGCGAGCGGGAGGGAACAGGAGGACGCAGTGATACCAATGGGTTGGGCGAGCGGGCGAGGGGCGAGATTTCTGTTCTTAACCACTACACGTCTCTTGACTGCTATATGATAGGCCTTGCGAGAGGGGGGGGGGGGGTAGAGAGAGATCCTTAGTGGAAGGGAACTGGAGGACGCAGAGAACACCCATCCGGTTAGGCGGGCGAGGGGCAAGACAAACGACACAAGTACACACGAATGTAAGAATAACCTGTGGACACCACAGACAATGAATACCATCAAATAAATAACTAGCAAATAAACCATATATATCCTCGAGGTATATGCAGGTATTAATGATATGGGAAGTTGACGGGATTATAGCAGGTAAAGGTACCAATACTACACGAAAATCATAAAGACAAAACCACGAACACCATTGACAGTGTACGTCATAACTGATGCGCATCGGTGATTTTGAGAATGCGATCAGGAAATTATAGCTAAAAGAATGATTATAAAAATTCCCACTGAAATTGAACCATTCATTTCTGAATCACTGTGGTCGAGTGGTGGAACGCACGACGCTGTTGGTCATAATGCCTGTCATCCATGCAAACTGTGAGATAGGTCCCAGGAATATATATCCATGACAAGGAATAAGATAGCCTGTCTAACCTCGTGGGTTTACTCCCAGGTTGCTGGAAAGGGAGTTTAACGTCTCGTCAACACAATACTTTGGTTATTTTGAGACTAACATATGGTTAATGTATCACCAACACAATACTTTGGTCATTTTGGGACTAACCTATTGTTAATGTCTCGCCATCATGAACTTGGGACATTCTAGTTGATACTCCGCCACCCAAGTTTGTACGAGAAGAGTTATTAGGTGTTCTAGAAGATGTAAGCACGCCATGCATCATGCACGACACCCACCGAAGCGTATATCAACTGAGTGTATATAGTTTGTTCAAAGATTTCAGACTGGCCTTGCTACCGATTTGACCTATAGCAAAGTTGAGATGTGGCCGAGTTGACTAGTATTCTCCGTCCGATATCTAACTGAATCCCGCCAGAGATCAGGTGGGTTGGATATGACGTAATGTGTTCGCTTTAGATCATAAGGTCTGTTATTGAGTCAACCGGCGTCGTTTTATTTCTCGGTTTGTGCGTGGCGAGGAGAAGCGTTGCCTATCCAACATTGTGGGTTTTCGCTGGGTCCCCAGGTGTCCTCCCACTTCTAAAAGACCACATTTTCGTCCCAACATGACCTAGTTTGTGTTGAGTGGAGGTTAAAACCCCTCTCCCTGTCACAGATCGATGTCATCACGAGATAAATAAACAATAATAGAAGAAAGATAGTTGTACTCACCGCCGTCACAAACAACACAATAATCCAATACATTGTATCAACAATATTCACCCGTCTCATCATTTAATACACTTATTCTACGGGGCAATATTTCTTTATATTCCCGATATCACAGGGCAATATGAGTTTATAATCCCGATATCACAGGGCAATGGGATTTAATATCAGGTGGGAGAGATGTGTTTACATTCCCGATATCACCTTTAATACTGGGCAAATTGAGTTAATATACCCAGTAACAAAAACCCTGATATATTATAGTATACCGCCCGTCATATACGATTGTATATCAACCTTGAATATAGGGCGCTATGAGTTAATATTCCCGGTAAAATATGGGATATCAACTTTGGAAGCGGAAATACTAAATTCTAATTCACTTCTTTTTGCAGGATCTATTCACCCACTGAACTATATCTCAACTTGTAACTGTGCAATATCGGTTAACGCTTCCAGGCAATCTGTATTCCCTTTGATATTGTAAAATGAGTTATTTGTTTTTATATCCCCGGTAAATATTCAAATATATCACAGTTATTGACATGAACAAACTTTCTCTTTGTTCCAGAAGTTTATAATTCCCGGTTCGTTACTGAGACTGAATCACACATGAGGGCAATATTAGCGATATATCACAGTTTTTTGTGTTCACGTTTGTTGATAACTCGTTCAGAAGTATCCAGTCCCCACCTCCATGCAATATTAGTAATAATGCCCGGTGTGTGTCTGTGTTTCGATGATTGAAAAGCGAATGAGGGCAATAATAACGATATATCACAGTTTGTGATAACGTTTGTTGATAACTCCCAAGAGAACTATACAGTTGATCACCGCCACCGTGCAATATCAGTAATAATGCCCGGTTTTCATATGACAATCACTTCAATGTTTTTAGGCGATTTGAGTATAAATCAATATAAATTATATATAATAATAGACGAGATTGAACATTGTATCAATCTGTCACAACATATCACTAGATGGTATTACATCTATAAAAGATATAGCTATTATTCCCAGTTGATGACGTCGCGTCTATGGTCTATAGCACTGGTGAAGATAGGTGTGATATAAAACATTGACAACAGTTTATCAGTAAAAGATATAATTATAATTCCCTGTTGGTGACGTGATATCTATAGTATATAGCACTGGTGGATATGGAAATGGAATAAAGCGTGTCTAGATCTATAGTAGTTATGTCCGATTGATGTATGGCAATCGCTACAATGTTGGTTAACTTGTAGTAGCTGATTTACCGTTACACAATGTTTTCACTGGGTGTATATCTTCTGTATCAATGACAATATTACACTATATATGATGTTACTATTACTGTTACAACCGCCCCACCTTCTACTATGGTTTAACTGTTAATAACGCACACATGACACCATAGAATATTCAATATCTTCTAGTAAGAAACTCCGATAAAACTGGTTAATATACGTTTATAATTCACCGTAAAATATCACAAACATCACAACTCTTCCACGAGTTTCACCAATTTACGAATAACCCACAACTGTCAACTAAAGCAGACGCTGAATTCACTAGCAGCCGACACTTCGATCTGGTCTTTGATTGGCTGAGAGTCGTTCGATCTGGTCTGTGATTGGCTGGCGGATGTAGAGGTGATTTATTGGCCTATGAATGAAGTTGATTGGTGTAAAGAGTAGTAAATTATTATTTGAGTATGGCGACAGACTGAGTTTGGGCGAGCTGTTTTAGCTGTTGAAGCGTTTGACTGGGAATTAAACATCAAAGAAAATATGTAAACGTGCTTCAATTAGCCAGATCTTCGTAGTATTATTATTCATCAATTATGTTACCCCAGTTTGAGTGCATATTATTTAAAGAGGCGTTCCCATGATCAACAAATTAAATGGGGTTTAACGTCCTACTTTTCTGCACCGACTGGGCTAATGAAGACAGCGTGCGATGAGGGGAAATTTTGCCCGGACAGCGGCGCTACGGTTTACTCTTATATCGAAATCCAATTGTCCATGGATCTTTTACGTGCACGACAAGGTGTACACACGACTTCGGGTTTTAGTACTTTCCGAATGACTAGACACTATCCATATCAGGAAACCGCGCCGGCTAATTCCGAGGAACTGTATAGCCGTTCGGATGGGACGTAAAACCGAAGTCTAGTTTACACATGGGCGTGTAGTAAGAGAACCCCTGACAGTTGGATATCAATATAAGAGTATGCCTTGGCAATAATTTGACTCTAAGTACACTGTATGGTGTACGCCCATCTTCATTATCCCAGTCGGTGCAGACAAATAGAACGTTAAATTACACTTCAGTTAAACATGCATTATGCAAGAGCTAAATCTGCCTATTGCAGGTCTTTCTTTAGGCCTGAAATGTTTTCTAAAGTATTAATTAGACATTAATTAACTGATCCAGGCCTTAATCAACTATCGATGGCATCAGATTTCTCCGATATTAAATAGATTAGAATGGTTCAGCGATACTTTGATTTAATCAAATATGGAGGACCGAGACTTAGCTTCGATCAACCAGTACGGTGGTTGAAATTATTAAACACGTCTGTCAAACCTTCAAAGGCTAATATCTTCGCTTGCAATAGAGTAATTTGAATGAAATTTTTAAATCATTCATTTTACATCATCTACTTTCGAACTATTATAGCAAGAAGGGCTAGTTCTTTATCTAAATCTTACATAATGTATCTTTAACCGGTGCACCTTATTGGACGTATTAAATATGTTGCAGGTTCTTATATAAGCCTTTTGATTTCCTGTCTTTTACATATGTCAGATCGTCCCAACACCGGGTTCTTTTTAAAAATACATCATTGATTATTTCAAATATCTATTGTGTTTTAATAATATAATTGTACAGGAACCGTGGCTGTTTTTATCGCTGGGAATTACCTACAATAAAATATTCAACACGTAGATTTAATGTTAGCCTTTTACCCAAACATAGTTTATCTCGGTTATATTCTAAAATCATAAAAATTTTATGATGGAATTAATTATCTCAATTAAACATCTGCCCCGGTAATTGATATGTGCACGTGATCACGAGCATATCTTGCACGTGCAATACTGTATATTAGATTTTATGTTCTATTAATTTATGTTAATTTATGTTAATTTATTCACAGATGAAATATGTTTTTCATCATGTGGCATATTTAGATATTTCTGTCGGAAGACCAGACAGGAAAAAAACCCAGATAGAGATGGTTCCATTTTATTTCAATAATTCGTTTGCGCGTAGGGGTCTTTAGCAATGGGAAAAAACGGGAGGACCCGGAGAAAACCCACAATGTTGGAAGGCATCCCTACTCCTTGGCAAAAGCGGGAAATCGAAACCACGCCACTTGACTCAATGACAGACCTTGGCTCAATGGAACCTTGGTGGATCAGTGCCTAAGGCGCTGGCTCACTAGGAGGTTCGCTTTTCGATCCGTGGAAGTTTCTCGAGATTTTCCGGCGTGGTTTTTCCCTTGTCAATGCCATGGAGGGCGGAGGGACTGACAAGATGTCTAGTCGTTCATATGGGATAAAAAGCCGAGGTCCCTTGTACATATTGGAGTGCAGGTCAAGAACCATTGGCAGTTGGAATTCGATATAAGAGTGGGCTGTAGCGCTACTGTCTGGGCAAACTTTCTCTCACAGCACACTGTATGGTGTATGTCAGTTTTCATTAGCCCAGTCGGAGCTGAAAAGTAGGACATTAAACCCCATTTCACTGATTGATTGGCTTTTACAAACTTCCAATGGTGTTAAGTCGCACGTGTAAATCCCCAAATACCAATCAAATGAACAGCCATTTTGAAGGAGTTCTAGATCGAATTAACACTTCAGTGGATTTCAACTTTTAATTAGCCACACAAAAACCTTTTCAAAATGTGTTAAAGTTTTCTCAATAAAACCATGTTTTGACAAATTAACAACTAATGCATTTTAGGGTTTTTCTTTAATTGGCCACTTGTGTTGCGGCTAGACCTGGTTAAGTCGTGTTAAGGGTGATTTAAGGGTGTTTGATTAGGGTCTCGAATGTTAAAATAACACCTCCCTAATACCTAGCCACTTATTGCAGAAATCAAGGGGACAATTAAAAGATTCAGGGGCGACAATCGCGTGTTGAATGTGTGAAAATAATGAGTTTTTATAAAGAAAGACGGGATTTGATATGACGTCAGTGTTGAATGTGACACTAGTTTATATAAATCTGACGTAAACAATGGAAGCCATTACGGTGTGGAATTTTACACCTTTATGAAGCATGACTGAACCGTCAAGATATCTGATGGATTCATTAAAGTGGTTCTGGATTAATACGTCTCTAGATTAAATAACCGGTTTCAACTACCAGCAGTGGAACACATGGGCAACCCTCTCAAAATACAGCCCACCGAACGCCACCATTGTTAGGCCTATATTATTTAAATGGTAGGCTACGAGAGGAGCTCCAACCATAGCGAGTTCTTACCATTGCACCTAGGTTTTGCTGGCCCCTGCGATCGCCCCAAACATGTGTTAATGACCTAGTTCGTGACGAGTGGGCGTTACCCCCCCCTCTCTCTCTCTCTCTCTCTCTCTCTCTCTCTGTCTCAACACTTACACGTATTAATGTATGATTATTGAACATTTAAAACAAAAAACAATCCAAATATCAGTCGTGGATAGTCCTTCACCTTGGATTATATCGGGTGAACAAAGGGGAAATGATAATCATGTTGAGAGGGGTTCACTAGCCCGCAGCTATAAGAAAATCTATAAATATGGGTATCAATAAACCTAACCCTAACCCAACCCTAGCCCTAATAATAGATATCGCTTGACTAATGAACCCTTACCCTTACCCTTACCCAACTCTGACCCTAATAATAGATATCGGCGGACTAATGAACCCGCGCACTAGTGAACATTCCACATTATGTGACGCTGGTTTGTGTTTGCAGTGGATGATGGATGTTGACAAAGTTTCATTTCATCATCTTTATAAATACTGATCGGTGTTTCCTTTTAGTGTCTCAATCGAGTCGTGGTGGCTCAGTGAGTTAGACGATGGCTGGCTAGCCTGGAGGTCCCGACTTCCATCATGGTGTTGGTCGACAAAGTGCCTCGGGGTTTTCCGGCGTGATTCCCTCTTGTCAATCGTACAGGCAAAAGGCCTGGCACTGATGATGACGATAATGATGACGACGATGAAAATAACGATGATGACGATTAAGGGTACATAATCGGAGAGAGATAGAGAAATGGGGTTTAACGTCCACTCAACACAAACTAGGTCATTTTGGGACTAACAATAATTCGCTTGCATGTAGGGATCTTTAGCAGTGGGATGAAACCGAGGACCCCGAGAAAACCCACGAGGTTGAACAGGTGACCTTACACGTTGTCGGGTACTGGCGGGAATTTGAAACCACGCCACGTTAGGCGTGAACTAGACTGATAGAATACTCGCTAGAGTAATCATGAATCAAGACGTATCGCCCAAACTCACTGTCAAGCCGTACTTGAAGATCAAACGAACCAAATAAATAGTTTAACAAGAGCCTGGTTGTAAATCAATACTTCGAGCGGTGATATAAATACACTGTTTGACGTGACGAGCTTTATAGTACACGTCAACTCTGTAGTGGTCATTTTTGTCTTATTTATTTGTTCTGAAAGAAGTTTTAGATGGCGTTAGGGTGTTTGTTTGTTTGTTTGTTTATTTGTCTGTTATTTATTATGTGTATTAGATCTATATTTGTTACACAATTCTCCAAGTAAACTGAACTATTTTATTTATACAATTTCTGAATATGGAAAGGGCGTTTGTAAGTTTTAATAACTTTTGTCCAATCCAATTGTATCAAAATTGTTTTTGTTGGTGCAATATAATATGTTTTAAGAGAGAGAGAGAGAGAGAGAGAGAGAGAGAGGGAGAGAGAGATGGGGTTTAACGTCCACTCGACACAAACTAGGTCATTTCGGGACTAACATATGGTTTACTTTTATTTCAATAATTCGCTTGCGCGAAGGGGTCTTTAGCAGTGGGAGGAAACCGGAGGACCCGGAGAAAAACCACGAGGCTGGACAGGCGACCATAATCCTTGTCACGTACAACCGGGGATTCGAAACCAAAAATACGTTTTAACCAAAACCAACAAATTAAGATACAAACGTCTTACTTTTCTGAAGCAACCGGGCCAGTGAAGAAAGGTGTATCCCTTGCAGTGTGCTAAGAAGGGCGTACCCCATGCAGTGTGCTATGGAGGGAAATTTGACAGGACAGCGGCATTTACGTCTACTCTTCGTCGAATGCACATTGACATGCACGTAAAAGATCCCTTGACAGTTGCCCGCTGTCCGGGCAAAATTTCAGTCGTAGCTCACAGGCCGGTCTTCATTAGCCCAGTCGGAGTAGATCAATAGGACGTTAAACCCCATTTCATTTAATTTCGTCGTCAAATTCCAACCGTCAAGGGGAAACCACGCAGAAAAATCCCTGGGGAGACCCTGACTAATCGTGACTCCCTATTACGCCTTAAAGGGCATGTCGTCCTTGATTTGGACCAAAATAAAAAGTGTTGAT